TTTTTGATCTCTTCTAGAGGTTTATGATTTCTCATTTCTGATCTCTTTTAGAGGTTTATAATTCCTCACAAGAGGATTTATAGTATCATTTATACTAGATAGCCATGTTATAGTATGCCCCATTCCAAAGTCTATCAGCCTTCACTTGGAGGATGGTTGCATTTTTTTCAGTATTTTAAGACTTTCCAGTGAGTTGTGTTGAAATCTGAAGACCACAAACCCCGGCATCAAATTGCCACAGATAATCTTGATCCTTTCAGTTGTTAATTATATTTATATCACACCCTTCCTCTAAGGAGTTTTTTTAGTGTATCCGAAATAGTCATTTCAGGCTGGAGCCAAACAATTTTCTTGACATGTGAAGCAAGCTGTGTGTCTGCCAGCTACAGCAGACATACTATCACTGCCATGCCAATGCTTAGTAAGTAGTTGGGATGCTACTCACTTCTAAACTCCTGAGAAAACACTAGATCAATAACAGAAGTAATATTCTGTTCCATATTTTCCAGTCACATGATTTCCAGGAATTGGATTTTTAATAGTTCCCTCAGCATACAACAATATTTTATTGTCCCCAGTTACCTTGTAAAGTGGAGAACATGGAGATTTCAAAATATTTTAGGTGTCCTAAAACTCCATCAATATGCAATTGTAATTAATTCCCTGCAACATTTATCAATACCTCGATAAACATCTTTTCTTAGTTAAAAAAGAAGTCACATTAAAGAGAGATAGCAAGTCTCTTTGGCTTTTCTTCAGGACTACAATGAGTGTGGTACAGTGGTCAGAGGGCTGAATTAAGCCTAGGAAGACTCAACATTCAAATACCTGTATGTCATGAAAACCCTACTAGGTTTTAAGTGAGTCACCATAAATCCAACATACTACACAGTATTGTTGCAAGGATAAACTGAAGGAGAGAACTAAATATACTGCCCTGAGCTCCTTAGAGAAAGGATGGAACAAAAATGGATTGTAGGAAAAGTCCTCCTTTCATAGAAGTGATGCCATTTTGAAGAAGGCTGAACATAACAAATTAATCAGTGTCAGCAGCCTTTGCACCATACAGCATGCTATGAAAACTGCTGTTATTAGTTTGCTTAATCACATACTAATACATAGGAACAAGATATACTTTAAGCAGTAGTTTAGCATAGTACAAGATGACCAAGAATATCTGGGAAGTTGCTTAAATAGCTGCTGTGTAGCTCCTATAACCATATAGAAAAGTAGTCACCCTAACTCCAGCTATGTGGTTAAGTCTGAAATTATCATGCTTCCACAAAAGCATGAACACCTAGGAAAGAAATAAAACTGGGGTTAACTGTGCATCAAAGATTATGGACAATATCAACCCAAGTGATTATAGTACCACACAATTTTTTAAACATCTACTAAGTAGCTTCATCTGTATCCATCTCTGGTGCAGAGCAAACAAAGTGAATTCTACCAGCTTGCTTTCTAAGCCAGAACAGAATTAAACAGAATGATAATAAAATACAGCATAAACAAGACAGTAACTGCATGACCAAAAAGAAGGTTTGAGTACCATTTTACAATAAATAAAAACAACTATCTCTGCCTTGTGTGCACTTTTCTGACCTTTGTACAACTAGAAGTATACAACCTATGGCATAACATTACCATAAAAGATTGTTTACATTCCCTGACTATTGGAGTAAGTGGTTAATTCTGCAAAACATGTAACATAACCAGGGGTTATTTCATAAAAAAGGAGCTAGGGGAACTCATTAGCATAACTCATTAGCATATGCCACACCCCCTGACATCACCGGAAATGTGTCATAAGGCCACACACCCCGCCCCCAACGGTCCCGGCCGCCACCGCTGGCCTTGCAGCTCCACTGCTGAGCCCCATTAGGGGCCCGGCGGTGGACCTGCAAGGCCGGCGGGAGTGCAAGGAAGCCCCGTGAAGGCCCTCCCTGGCCCCAGGCAGGCAGGGGTGGGGAGAGGCAGGGAGGAAGCAACTTACCCTCCCTCTTCTCCTGCCTCCTCCTGGCTGAATGAGGGCCGGAAGCCGGGAGGCCGGAAGCAGGGGGTGGGGCTTCGTTATGTGCCCCGCCCCCGTACCTCACCCGGGGGAACTGCGTTCCCCCACGAAATGACCTCTGAACATAACTATTACCCTTTATAAGAATCCAGCAAATGGCAGATCTCAGTCACACACAAAATGGTTTCATGTTCTAATGTAACAAGTGGGTACCATAACCAAAATTAAGCAGTTATTTCCTTTTATGGGCTTTTTAGCACATCAAAGAATATTTTATAAAATACAAACAAGCTCTATAAGTGTGTGTAGTAATTACTGTAGCATCAGCAACCTGACTGATACTCAAACCCAAACACATGGAATACAATCCAGCTAATACAAGAATGTTATTGCCTCACTGATTTTAGGGTTAGGGTTAGATTTCAGTCTTCAGCTGAAATCAACAAGACTTTATAAATTTTGATTGGATTATAGCCACTGAGCTGTTTCCTACAGAGAATTTCTGCTGACAGAATGATTTCAGCCCATGGTGTGCAACCCTGTCTCCTCCCTCCTGCAGCCCCAAATGCTGTTCTTAGAGGGTCTTCCATCTCCCAAAAGACAGTGTTGCAGCCGGGGAGGGGGAGATGAGGAACTAGTCTATAGGATCACAATTATTACGTGGAAGTAAGACTTGCCAATATTAATCAGTATATTGCTATTTAGAACTTAAAGATTTGTTGACCTACAAGGAGCTCGTTATTATGAGCTGCTAATATGAACAGGGAATTTTTAAGATGGGTGACACCTTTCTAAGACAAAAGGCTTAAGAATATAATATACACACACTGACAATACTTTAAGAAGAGACCAACTCAGTGACAGCAAACTGTAATGCCCTAGTTTCGTCGTTTCTTAGGATTGCAGCTCCCATTTCCAAGTTCCTTAAACCTCTGTTACTTACCTTCTTCACATACCACATGTTTGTGGGTAGAGGTTGTGTCTGTAATAGCTCTCATTATAAGCATGTAATAAATACGGAAATGGGAATTTAGGAAAACAGAACTGTGCTGAGAGTCCACGGCATAGATAAAAGGCAAAGTCAGGAAATTACGATAGACTCCTAGACACCAGCATGAAGTGTTTAGGCACCTGCATGACCAGATGCCTAAAATTCTTCCACGTAGAAGGAACTGGTGGTGGGGGAGTAGTATAGCCTAGCAGGTGTCTGATGCACACTGATCCCGACAATCTACTCGCACAGCAGTCTTAGTCTTTAATACTCCACCCTCCCCCAAGCCACACACTTGATAGGATTGATTGCAAGATCAGCACAGCGAAGTCTAAGAAACAAACAGGTCTTGCTTTTTACACAGACACTTCCCACATTTCCCATTGCATTATAACACCAAACCAGGCATACCACAAATCAGCATACCTGGATAGAAGTCATTTTAAAACTCACTAAGAATTTCTAGAATTCCAATTTGTTCCTTTAAGCCATCTTTGAGCAACACATTTAAATAAACATTTAAATAAACATGACAAAGGATTTTCATTTCCTCTTCCCACATGCAGGTCATGAAATACAGACAGTGGAATGCCAAACTGGAACATCCAGCTTTAGGGCACCTATATGGCTACTGCACATATGGAAGAACAACAAAAAGGGAAAGTGGATCTGGAATACAATGTAGAAAGATATACTTATTGCTTAGCCCTGAGTGAAGAATGTACTACAACAGAAAATGGATGTTTTGTGCAGCCCATTACTTAGAAGATCATTGTAGGCTTTTTATTACGGGAAGGACTGTCATTTAACAATCAAGAAAACATATATTAAAACATCGTAGGCAACTATCCTCAAGTAATAATAATTATTATCATATGGCATTGTGTGTAGAATAGTCAGGAGATCCTAAGATTGTCTGGCAACCATACGTTCTAGCTGCTTAGCATTATGCATCAGTAGGTGGCAAGCTAGACTTTTTTTTAAAAAAAGGCAAGAGGCATTTCAGAGGTGCCTTCTGCTGCATCACAAACCTGGCATTCCTTGGAGGTTGCCCTGCCAAACACTAGCCAAGGCTGAATCTGTGGGATCAGTCATTTGGTTCATTATCTGCTTATTTTTAAAGAAACATAACAACTAGTTATTCCAGAGGAATAACTGTATTAGCACCAACAGCTTAATGACTAAACCAGTTTAGGCCACAATAACTTTGTTAAGGTATCACGAGTGGTATTATAGTTACTAACACCTCCCTCAGCAGCTCAACCAACTCATATTCCTTTTCTGACAGTGCAGTCCTGGGCACGTATAATACGAAACAAGTTTACCCAATTCAATAAGACTTGCTCCATAGTAAGCGTGTTTTAAGCGGTAGCCTCTATTGAGGAAAGGGGCGGTGGCGGACGACAACAGCTGAGCTGGTGAACAAGGCATACTTTAAGAGCAGATTCTTAAGAGTATACTGTTATGCATGCTAAAGGTCCCAAGAGGCTGTAGCTAAAAGACAAAGACATTTAAAACATTTCAGGAAGGGCAGCTAGGAAACACACCAGTCTGGAACCAGGGGTGGGTGGGGGGCAGTGTTCCCTCTAAGCTGAGTTAGTGTGAGCTAGCTCACAGTTTTTTAGCCTCCGGCTCACACATTTTGGTCTTAGCTCGGGAAGGAGGGCTCCAGAGCAAACTAATTTATGCAGTAGCCAAATCACTCGCTCACAACTTTAATGCCAGTAGCTCACAAAGCAGAATTTTTGCTCACAAGACTCCATAGCTTAGAGGGAACATTGGTGGGGGGGATAGCTATCAGCTAGACGCTCCTGGACCTCTGGCCTGAGTTCATTTAAAGCAGAGTCCTACATTTATGCTTTCCTGGGCGGCGGGAGCCAAGGGGGTCCCATGACACGGAAGAGAAGGTTTTGTTTTTAGCAGTGGGAGGGAAAAACCGAGGAACTACAACAGGACTACGCGAGGCGCCGAGCTGAGCGAACACAGACGGGCCCGTACCTGTCACGAACACCACGAACACCGCGCCACGCTGCTTCGCGGCAGCAATGGCGGCCGGGATGGTGCCAGGGAACCACAGCATGATGGCGGCGGGTCCGTGCACGGCGGACAATGGAAAAAACAGGCCGGCCCTGGCTGGCACGCGCGCCCTAATTGCCGCTCCGCCGCCGCCGGACCCTCCGCGGCCTAACCGCCCGTTTCTCTAGACGCGCGTGCGCGTCACAAACGTCAGCCCCGCTTTGGTTGGGATGACTCGGACTTCCCTGTCCCGAGTCTCTCTCATACTCCTCCCGTCTTTCGCCTTCTTCTGGAGTATCACGCATGCGCCCGTCATGCAAACGGAGTGTGCTGTTGCGCGCATCCGGGGAGGGCCGGGAGGGAAGCGGCTGCCTTCCTGTGTCTGCGGGAAGGATTACACGCTGAGGATGACAAGGTAAACCTAGCTGCGATTCGCGACCGCGCATTCCTCTGGCATGCCACCGGTGTTTAGGGATCGCAGATTCAGGGTGGCTGAAGGTCGGGGAAGTAGATCAAAATCCTGGCATTTATTTCTTTAATAAATGTGGTCTCATTAAAACCAACTCAGCGTTGTGAACATCTCCCCTCTTCACCTCTGTGGCTTTAA